AATAAATAAAAAAAATACAAACAAAAATAATCATTTAAAAATACTTTATATTCAATATATATTTATATAAATATATTTCTCAAAAAGGTTATCCTACTGATTGCGCTTACATTGCCATATCTTTAATTTCATCCATATTAATTGTTAGGAATTTTCTAATTTATTTTTCGAAAGTATAACATAATGTAGCAGTAGCTAAAAAAATGCCAATATCTTTAAGTTATCTTTTTCTTTTTTTTCTTGCTAAATCACTTTTAGGATATATTGTATCACTTAATTAACTTAATAAAGATTTTTTTTATGATTTAGGCATATTCATTTTTATTTCTTTTTTTTTCTAATATTTTCTAAAAAAATAATTTATATATCTTTTAATTTTTAATTTTATATTTTTTAAATTAAATTAAAAAAAAAATATAAATATCAAATAGTAATAAAATATATATTTTTTAAAAAAAAATATATATAATTACTGTATATTAAATTATGTTTATTAGAAATAAAAAAAATAAAGATAAAAATAAAATCTTTATAAACAAAAATAAAAATAAAAATATTATAAACATATGGAAAAATCAAATAAAAATATTAAACACTATTAAAATATAAAAAATATATTAAAATCTTTATAAAATAATAAATAAAAATATTAAATTTTATAATATACATTTCAAAGAAAAAATAAATTTAAATAATTTTTTATTATTAAAAATAATATATAATATATATATATAATAATAACATATAATATATTCCGTTTTTTATTAAGCATAATTGTTAGAGTTAAATTTTATTTTTTTTATTAGATAATGAATTAAAAAATAATAAAATAATATATTTAATTAAGAAATTTTTACTAATACAATAATAATAATTTTATATATATTTTTATTATATTTTTTTATATTATTTATAAAAAAATAAAAGATTATTATAAATTATATAAATACATTACAATTTTTTTATTAGATTATATATCTATTATTAATTTTATTTTTAAAGAAAATATCATGTAAAACCTATATCAGGGCAATAATATTCTTTCATACTAATAGTAAATTTAAGATCCTCATTTTCTAAAAACCTCAAAGGCCATTAAACTGCATTCCCTTTAATATTTTTAATTCCCTCTTAATAATTTTGATGATTCGCTTTAGACCTAAAATTATCAAAATCACTCATTTGAAGAATTTCATCATCTGGATAGCACCTAAAAATATCTCTATAGATCAATGTATTAGTTTATGTTTATTTATTAATAATATTATTTAATTAAGGATCTAAAGGGTCAGAAAACTTAATTTAATTCTAATCCAAAATGTTCTCTATATAGTTCACATCTTAAAGAAAATGCATATTTACTCGCTGTATATTATATTCCTGACCATTTTCGATTATACAGATTCTTAATCTTCAATAATAATCTTTTTTTAAAAAAATATTATATTTAGAAATATATATTCTAATTAAATAAATAAAAACAGCTATTTCTGAATCTCTTGTTCCTTTTAAACTTCTGTCATTTATATTTGCTGATCCTATAATAGCTATAGAATCATCAATTATCATCATCTTTTTTTTATATATTGTATTTATTTATATTAAAGTTAATAAATCTACCTTGCTGTGTATGTATATAATCTCAGTATAAGGTTTATTATTTTGAAAATCATGTGTTCTTAATCCAAAAAACTAAAGATAATCAAAAGGATTTTCTATATTACAATCTTATTTTAATTCTTCATATATTGAATTTCCTCCTCTACAAATTGTTAAATATTCCCAATGTAACTAAATTTTCATAATAGCTGAATTTTCTTAATTAATTTCTCCTTCAAATCCCTTTTATTTTTATTTTTTTGTGTTTAAAAATAAAGCCATTTTATAATATTTATATTTAAAAATTTACTGGTAATAAAGGTATAAAAACAATAACTTTAAATTATTTTTTTCAGCGGCCGCTTTTTTAATTCTATTAACAATGGCATTACTTATTTAATTTCTAACGGGAGTACCTGCATGAGAGCTGATAAAAAATTAATTTTCAATATAAATATAATGATTGGCCTCATTAATAAGAGTCAAATAGGCAATTTAAATTGAAGTTTCAGTATCCAATTTACTTAATCCTAGAGACCAAAAGCTTGCGGAACGCAAAATTTGACATTTTTACTAAGTTTAATTTTTTGTTTATTTAAATTTTTTAACTTATAATTTAAGAATATTTTTTCTTTAAATAATTTCTTTCTATATACTACCAAAATTATCGAAAGACTTATCAAACATAGATTTGTAAGATGAAAATCTCATAATAGAATCTTTTCTTGATTTAAGGCTTGCTTTAGAAGTTAATTCATTGTCATCATGTAATTCATTTTTTTCTAAAAAATTAGTATCATAATTTGCTTAAGGTTACTATAATTTTTCAAGTATAATGCTTTCTTTTTAAGAATTAGAACTCTCAACTTAATTATCTTCGTATTCATCATAATCATTGTCAAGTTTTATTTATTATAATTACTTTAAAAGTTATAATATTTCCTCACGAGGTTTTTCTTCTTAATTCATAAGCATTTATTCAAAACTTGTTTATTTCTTGAAAGTATGTTAATGTTCAAATTATGGTTTATTACTAAATATATTATATATAAATAATATAATATGTTTTATTATTATATATATATATATTTATATTTATATTTTTATTTATAATTTAGTTATATCATTTTTATTTTAGAAAAATACATTCTATTTAATAAATCAAAAGAAATATCATGTTAATCTAAATAATGTTAGATATCTGGTTGAATTTTCTTGATTTTATTTTTAATAAACCCTTAAACTTTATCTTTAAAACCTTTTAACTTTTAATTAAATTCTTTAATATACGGTTTAAATGGATTATTTTATCCTGCTCTCTCCTACGGAATCAGAAACCCTTAATGTCCTCCTTTATTATCATTATCAATCTATGCGAAATTCCAATATTAAATAAAATGCTTTGAAACATCTTTTACCGACGGCCCAATAATTCTCGTTGCAATATCATGCCAAGGTAATCTTTACTAAAAATCCCTATTAATATTAGACTCTTAAAAATTCGTAACATTCTCAAAATCCTTAATTCTAATATTATTATATTCAATTCCCGTAAAAAATTATTTTTCTCCTTTATCAAACAATAAATGTCCTTAAGTATCCCACCTCCCATAACACAAATCCAATCCTCCAATAAAACACACTTCTTAATCAATAACAACTGTTTTTTCATGATGACTCCACATAAAGGGCAAAACATATTTCGGATGTCTTTAAACTAAAATATTTGTAGGGTGCAACCCTTATAATTTAGATTAAGTATACTTAGAGTTTAAGCACAAAGCAAGCTCCGTTTCACAATATACACTAATGTAAAATTTCACGCCCTCATTTGCCTTTTTCTAAATCAAAAAATCTAGTCGAGATTCTGGATATTTTTCAGGTGGTCTTTTTAAAAAAAGCTCCGGAGATACCCACCAACCGGTAATAAAAACCTCTTATACAGCCGAGTCAATGGCATCATATACATCAGAGAAATAATTTTGCCCATCTACATACCATTTAGCAATACAATTAAGTCTAGGTGGTGCAAAAGAATTAAATCGATGTACACCTGCATATATAGAATGATCATAAGCATTCTTTATTGCAAAAAGAATGTCTAAAAAATCAAAAACATCATAAGATATTAAATTAAATTTTCGACTATTTGTTTTAATTGCAAATCCTAGCTAATATCCTGTATATTCCAAACCACTTTATATTTAAAAATTATAATCGAATAGTATCACTTCCCTTAATTAAGAATTAGGGTACACAAGTCCTTTACTATACATAATACCATCTTAAGTAATTATAAAATATCTTTTATCATAGCATTTACATAAGGTTTTACAAGAAAGTTTTTGAATAAGACTTCTCTAGTTATATCTACCTCCGGCTTGCTTTTTTATAAAAACTTCCTTATACTTCTACTTACCGTCTTCAAATATATCTGAAAATTCACAAAAACATCTCAAAGAAAGCTTAAATTCTTATAAAAGCCTTAATTATTTTCTAGTATATTAATCTTCGTCATCTTCTTAGTCATAATTGAATTAACTTATTATGTTCTATAGTTAATCTTAGAGAATATTTAATACTTCGCCTTAGTTCGTACTTTTTTCTAATTATTAAGAGTCTAATGGTATGAATTTTTTATCTAATGAATCGATATATTTGGTTAAATTTAAATATTCTAATTCAATTTTTTTTATTTGTTGGATTGTTCTTCTTATACTAATAAAAAAAATAAGTATTTATATATAAAAAATATGTTAATATAAATAAATTATTTACGTCCATCTAAAAGTCTTGAATTTTAATTAAAATAAATATATATTTCCGATATTTTATAAATGGAATTTTTTTATTAGCTTTTCTATATTAAAGTCATTACTTTCTATATAATCAATATATTTTTGAAAACTAACATAATCTTTTCCAAAGATTTGTAAATGAGAATATTTATTATTATCGATTTCATCACTTGAATCATCGGTGTATTTAAATAAAGGTTCTATATATTTATCTTCATTTTTTATTTTCTAAGAGTCTTTATTTTGCGGACTTATTTTTTCTTCATATTCTTGTTTCACTTTACTTTGTTCATTAAATATATTTAATTGAGAAAATTAACTGTATTTTTTTTATCTTGGAGTAGTTTAATAACTATTATTTATTCCATATTATTTGTTTACTATTTTTTTATGATTAAATTGTGTTTATTTTTCTTCGTCAAACATTATTATTTTTTATTTATTAAATTAAATTTATAGATTTTATTTATATATTTTTGTTTTATTAAATGTAATAAATTTTAATTTTTGAATAATGTATATTATTTAAAAAAATAAAATATTGTTGATACTATTTTATTCTATTAATATTTAATAAAAGAAATAAAATCAAAAATAATATGATAAAATATATAAAAAAAAAAAAATTATAATAAATAAAATATTTATATTTTATTCAATATATATATTAAATTAATATACTTATATTTATAAGTTTAACTCAACTAATTCTTTATAAAAAACAATTCAGAAAATTACTATATATTTTATTTTTATAAAATATTAAAAAAAAATTATATGAAAAAAAAAAAAAATTATAAATTATTAAATAATTTATTTAAAAATAATTTATTTAGATAAGAAATCATATTTTATATAAAAATAAATTATAAATAAAATTATTAATAAATTATTAGAAAATACAATATATTTAAATATCAAATATACAATAAGTATAATTTTTATTTATCTTTTATAAATAAAAAATCTAAAAAATTAAAAATTTTATAATATTAAAAGTATATAATCCTAAACATAAATTATATTTGTTAAAATATATGAACTATATTTTTATTTTAAACTCTTTATTAAAAGCAATATTCATTTTTTAATAAAAATTTATGTTTTATTTTTTGTTAAAATCTTTATTAAGTTTTAATAATTTTTTTTTAAAATATTATTATTTTATAAAAGATTTTAAAATACTCATAAAATAATTAAATATCTAAAATATATATATATATATATATAAAAAAAAAACGATAAAATATATATCTATACAGTAAAATAAAAATTCAAAAATAAAAATGGCAAAACTATTAGTCTTAAATTTTTAAATTTTATTGTTTTTATTGTTTTCATTTCCATTGTATAAAAATCAGATTACTTTTATTTTAAAATAATACTATGTATATCTTAATATTATTAGAATTCTTAAATTTCAATTAATTTATTTTGTTTACTAAAATATAAACTAAAAATATCCTCAAATTAAATATTCATATACATTAATCTTTTTAAAAAAGAGGTAAATTTTCTTTATTATTTTTTATTAGCAAAATACAAATTAAATTGTTATAATTTTAAGTTTAATTTTTTTATTTATTACAAAAAAATTAATTTCAAAAAAGTCAAATCAATACTTATTAAATTAAATATTCGAACATTTTATATAGTATAATTTATTAATATAAATTAAAATTTAAAAAGTTAATACAAGTTAAATATATGCTTAATTATCTAGTCAGATAGTTTCAAATATTTATTGACTAAATTTGACGTTTCTTATAATCATTTTTAGAAATTTCAGTTTCTGTTTGATTTAATATTTATAAATGGAGATGTTATTAAATTATTTATTTTGTGGATTTCTTTATAAATATTATGTATAATCTTAATTAAAATTGAATATATTTATATAATATTTTTAATTAACTTTTTTTCTATTTAATTAATAAATATTATTTTGTTTTATTTTATAATAAAAGTTAAGTTTTTTTATTTAGATTAAAATATGAAATAAAATTTATTTTAAAAGATAAAATCGCTAATTTAAAATATTTTATACTATATTTTTTAGTAAATATATAATAATATAATTTATATTATTAAATATATAAAAAATAAATATCTAAGAATTCATTTTACTGTTGTATATTAACTTTTTTTAATTTATAAAAAATGTATATAATATTATATTCTATATAAAAAATTTTTATACCTGAATACAATTTTACTGTTTCTTAATCTACTGCTAAATTTAGATAATTATAATTTTTATTAATCAGTTATTTTATGATTCCAACTATTATCAAAATCTAAATGAGTTTAACTTTTTAAATTTTAAATTAATTTTTTAACATTTCTAAACTCTCATCTTAAAAGTTTTTATTCCAACTTTTTATTTTTTTATATAAAAAAAATATAAATAAAAATATAAATATATATATATATATATATATATATATATATATATATATATATTATTATATACTCAAAACGAATATTTATATCTTCTAATAATTATAATTCTTACAATTCCTTTACTAATTTTATTAATGATTTATCAGTAAATACATTATTCCATGTAAAGTTAAGTTCTATTTTTTTAAGATTTTTCATTACTCCAATTGATTCTGCTAATTTAATTAATGCTTCGTCACTAAATATATTATTCCAAGTAAAGTCAAGTTTTAAATCTTCAATATTTTTTAATTCTTTTAATGTATTTGCTAATTCAAATATAAATTAATCTTAGAAATAATCATTATCGCTAATTTAATTAAATGTTTATATATATATATATATATATATATATATATATATATATATATATATATATATATATATATATATATATAAATTTACATATATTTAGTTTACTAAAAGCTTAAATAAAATTGCTTTAATTAAGGAATTATTAATTATTAAACTAATTTTATTGATCCTTCTTAAGTAAAATTGAAATTATTTCTATAATAAATAAAATAAAAAAAATTTTAAATATTTATTTTTACGAACAATCAAAGTTAAATCTTGTCAAATATTTAAGTTTTTTTAATTCTGATACCTTTTTTAATAAATCTTCATCTTTATCTTATGGATTTCTATTTATTAAAAATAAAAATTCATATATATATTTTAATATATAGGTAACAAAAAAATAAAATATATTACGATTTAAATACAAAATCAACCTATTTATTAGCTTCTATATATATATTTTTTTTTATGAAAATAAAATTATAAATTATTTTCAACCTTTTAAAATATTTTTTGAGTAAATTTAAGGAATAGATATCTCTTTATCAATTAATTTATTAATTAAATTTTATAATAATTATTAAGATGAAGGAGGATTTAAAGATATCATTTCGATTCCAGTTTAAATTATAATTGAGTTATTATCAAATTCTAATTATGCTGGTAGCAAACCTTAATTAAAATCTTTTCCAAGGGCACTTATTTGAACATCTTTAATAGTATTTATTTTAAATTTTTTTAAATTTCCAATCATTAAAACAATAAAACCTAAGCTTAATATATCTGTCTAATGAAAAAAAAATAAAAATAAAAACATTTATATTTTACTTATTAATCGAAATCTTACTCTTGTTTTCTATTAGTACACATTTTATGTAACTTTAATATAAATAAAAATTAATATAAAAGAAATTAAAAAATTACAAAAGGGTTTTTATTTTTACAAAAAGATTAAAATTATATATCTGTATAAAAAGGTTAGTTTTAAAGCATTATAATATTTTCTAATTTAATGTTTGAATGAATGGTATTTTTTTCTTCATGCATAATATTTAATCCATCTAATAATGAAATAACTAATTTTATTTGCTATTCTTAATTTAGTTAATTATGCTATTTTAAATAATTTTCCAAATTAGCTAAATAAAATGTAAATATATATATATATATATATATTATATATATATTTATATATATATTTTTTATTTTTTTTTTAATATACTAGAATTTTCTATATACTTATATTAGTATAATTAATATTCATAAGTTTAATATTAATTTTTTTAAAAATTAATTTATTTATCAAATACATAAAACATTTTATCTTCAGATATGAATTATTAGTTTGCATCAATAATTTTACTTATTTCATTTAATTTCTAAGTTGATTATTTTTTTACTTTTATAATTAATTATTTTTGTTCTTGTGTTTCTTAATTACATGATATTAAAATAGTATCTTGACTTTCTTAGAAATAAGAAAAATTACAATATTAATTGTTTTCAAGAAATTCAATAATATCAAGTAGATTTTATTATGTAAATAGATTCTTGTTTTTCATTTATTAATGTATAATATTTATTTTTGAATAATTAGTAGGAGAAGGAGCAGGAGGATCAATATTTTAGGGCTGAGTTGGAGGAGCTTTAGCAGGTTTTTTTTTTCCACAACACATATTTTTTTATTTTTAAAATACTTTACAATTATTATTTTAATAATAAAATAAAAATTTTAATAATTATAAAATAAATTAATTTAAAAATAATTAATTTTATTTTAAAAAAAATATATTAAAAAATAAAATATTATGATATAAAAATAATATATAATAATAATTATAAAAAATAAAAAATATATAAATATAAAATTATTATATAAAAAAATAAATATAAATATATATTTAAAATATATAATTAAATAAATTATAATATTTATATATATATATATATATTATAAATTTTTTTAAAAAATATATTCTTTAATTAATATTTATTTATTATTATAATAAAATAATAACAATATTTAATAAAAATTTACTATATTTTTTATTTAGTTTTTTTATATAAATCATTTTTTTTGATTTTAAAATAAATTTTTATATTATATTGTATATATGCTCTATTTTTAAACTTTAAACGATAATTAATAATATAAATTTTTTATTATTTAATAATAATATATTTTTCTTATATTTTTTTATTAATTATATATATATATATATATATATATAAATATATATATAAATATATATATTTTTTTATTATTTCTCTATTATATATAATTAAATATTAGATTTTTATAAATATTTATATGTAATTTTATAATAATTTAATATTTATATTTATATATATTTTATAAAAATATTTTATTTCAAATTAAAAAAAAAGAATTCATTTTTTATGTCTGATAAAATGTATTAACAATTATTAAAAAAAAAAAAAAAAAAAATTCTATTGATAATTAATAATTAATTAAATATATAAAGTGTAATTAAAGAAAAAGATTATGATTTTTTTTCAAGAAACCGTCTGAAGAAATATCATCAAACAACTTATAACCCATTAAAAGAAGATCGTTTATAAAAAAAAGAATCCGTAAATAATGCATTTAAAATAATTTCAGAAGTAACAAATAAAACTAAAAACAACATCAAAACAGAAGGTGATTTTGTTGATCCTTTATCAAAACGGACAAGTTCATAATTATATAATCCTTTATTACGTCCATAATAATAACAATCTTTATTTGTAATTTTTTTATATAAACAAAGGAAATAAAAATTAAAATTAAACTATATACAAAGTTTAAAAAAGAAGAATCTTTAGTTGATTAAAATAAAAGAGTTGTTATTATTAAAGATGATAAAAATTCTCGATAATAATTATCAGACGAAGTATAAAATATACTTTGGGAACAAATAAGAAAGGATTTTATGAAAATATTTGATTTTAAAGTTTAAGACTTAAAAAATTAAGTTATAAATGTAAACTTATATTATAAGTTTTTATTAAATAATAATAATAAAAAAAGCCTTTCGGATAATCTGCTCTAACAATAGATGAAAAAAACAAATTTAAATAAGCCTAAAGTGGCTCAAATAAGATGGAATATGAATAATCATCATAATAAAAGATATAAAATGTAAAAATATAAATTATTTATATATAAATAAAAATAAAAAAGTAAATGATAACTATGAAATCTTACATAGATTATCTATCTGATATGCATTCTAAAATGAAAAAGAAATGGAATGAATAAGATAAAGTTTCAAAAATAATATAAAATTAAATAAAATAAAATAATATAAAATTAAATTAAATAAAATAAAATAGGTTGGTACTTTATAAATTACAATTTAAGCTATAAAACTATTCAATGACAATGAACAACCTAAATTTTCTCCTTACAAATACGTTTATATAATGGATATTTTAGACAGTTTTTCCAAATTCGTTTTCCAAAGAATGAAAAAGCTCGCTTTTCCAACTTATAATGCCGAAAAATTAAAAAACTTGACCTTCTTTGATATTTCCGGTTCTAATATTCCTGAAAGTTGCCAAGAAATATGCAAAAACTGGTTAAGAAAAGTCAGTTCTATCCGAGAATTAGTTCCCCGAATATATATAGAAGCAGCTTTACTTCCTATAAATTATTTCATAGACTCATCTAATATATAATAATAATTATTAAAATTATCTTATTAAAGCAGAAGTATAGGTGATTATATTAACAGTATAAATTATAATATATTTATATTGAGAATCGGGGCAGAACTTCTCCCTAAAGAAAAATCTCATATTTTATAACAACTAGAAGACTTTTTTTATTATATGCATTAACCCTAATTTAATTCAACAGGATTAATAGGGGAAGAATATATGAAACTTTTCGAACCTTTTTTATTAACTGCATTTAGGTTTTATTCCGAAAATTGCAGTGATGCTGAATTCGCGGATCTTTTTGGACTTTTTACAAAATCTAATTAACATTCGGCAGTTCTTATTTAAATAATATAGAGTTTTTCACCTTAACTTATTTGCTCTTCTGCAAGAGAGATATTTAAAATTATTTAAAGCTATCATGTTGACCATAAATTTAAAATATATAACTTATTTATACCTAAATTGGTTAAAAGTATACAAAATTAACCACTTCCAAATGAAATATTAAACTTGATTTGGCTTGATGTTTCCGAAGTTAATAATTTGACGGTTTTTTTAGATATTCTAGTTCCATATATTGAATTAGTAAATAAAATTTTCAAAGGATATAAAAAGACTTAGGCTTTTTAACTTATTATTGAGAAGTTTAACTAACTTTTTAATTCTGTAGAAAATTCAGAAATGCATGTTTTTGAAAAATTAGAAGATTTTATAAAGACCATTTTATCTAATTGTGATGACGTGGGGGAAATTTTAACTATTGAACCTTTCTTTTAGTTTATTTCTTTTTTTCCGCCTTAAATGAAAGTCTCTGTTAGTAAAAAAGTTCTTAAGTTATTCATGGAAAGAGATAGATAGGAAAAAATTTAAGATCCATTAGCTATTCATGCTATTTTATAAAGTAATTTTTTTAAATTTAATTTCTTTTTATATTTTTTTATTTTTGTTTTTTTAGTTGCGAAAAATCTAAATGAAATAGAATACAAAAATCCTGAAGAAAAAAAAGAAATATTCGATCTACTTGAAAATTTCTTTAATAAAATAGATTTTGGCATTGATTTAGAATAAATTTTAAACTTCTGTACTGAAATAAGAAGTTCTTTCGGCTATATATAAGAAATAATAATCTATCTAATCGAAAAAGTCAATTCCCTATCATTTTTTGCCCGTTCGTTTATCAAAAACAATAAATAATCGAAAAAAATAACTGGGTTTTTATAAGCCTGTATAGCTTTTTGTTATATAACAATCCCTATGATAGAAGATAATTTTCTTTAATTTAAGCTTTATGTCCAAAATTCGTAAGTTGCTCTTCTTCATAATCTTATTTCTTAATCTGAGTCGGCTTTTAAAACTGCTCTTTAAATATTATCTGAAATTCCAGAATAATAATAGACTATAAGTGAAGATTTGCTTAAGAATTTTTTATCAAATATGGTTTCTTTTTTAATTGTTTTGCCAGAAAATCCAGAAAATGATATGCTTTATATTTTTTAAGGATTTTTGAATATACTTAATTTATATAAGTGGTAAGGATTTTGTCCTGAGTATTATTAGTTGTGTTTAATTTAGGACTTTTTAATTTACTTATGTGTGTAAATGTAATAGAATCTTCCTTATCATATTGACGGGGTTAGATCTAATGATAAACTTTTTAATAATAAGGAGTTTAGTGATGCAATTTAGGTTTAAGTTGAGGGATTAGTTTATAAATGTAAGGAAATTATTAATGTTTCTATCTCAAAATAATATGATTAAAGAGTATTTATATATATAAATTATTTTAATTTATATTTATATAAATATTTTTTTAGTTTCTTTTATTTATTTTAATATTATAATATAGGGTAATTATTTATTAATTGATATTTGTGGAAAAATAGTAAATTCATTTATTTGTTATTTTGAAAATGGGAAATAAATAAGTATAGTTTTAGAATAGTTTATTAGTTTGATTTTAAAAAAAGCTACTGACTTAAATAAAGATAGTTACGGTAGAGAATATCTTTAGAAAAAGGTTGCTTTAATATAATAAAGTTTAAATAATGTTGAAAATAATTTCAAGGTAAATTATTTTATACTTACTTTTTATATATATATATATAAATAAAGGATTTAAAAGATTTTGAATATAATAAAACTTCTATTATTGCTTTATTAGAAGCAAGTAAGAAAAAATGAAAATAATAATAAAAAAAAATATAATTGAAAAATAATATAACAAAAGAAATATATATTTATATTTTTTTGTTTTAATCAAATTTATGGTAAATGAGAATTTGTTTATTTTTAAAAATTATCTCTTAAAATTTAACTTATTTATTTAGATGAAATTTACATTACACCTTATTTTTTTTCATTATAATTATTATTTTTTTAAGGAGATTCTTTACTTTTTAATTTACTAAAAATTTCAGATTTATTTTTGAATATTTTTTATTTAGAATTATCTTTAAAAATCATACTATTTATATTATTATTATTACTATTATTATTCATACGATTACTATTATTAATACTTAAACTTTATTTTTATATTTTATTTTTATTATTAATGTTCTACATAGAAACTATTTATTTTTAATAAAATATTTTATTTTAAATTTTTTATTTAATAAAAAAAAGTAATACATATATTATTTTATAGCAAAGAAGATGATTTTGAAATATTTTAAAATAGATATTGAGAATTATAATTGCTTTAATAATTAAAATTTATATTAAGAAATTAAGTAGTAATAGGTGATATAACTATTTTATTTAATTAGGTTTACGAAAAATCTAAATTAATTGAAGATTTACTATTTTAAACTCCAGTTGGTTCTAAAATAATAAACTTTTTTATTAAGAATATTATAACTATTTTTTATTATTCAAAGGCTCAATATTTTATTTAGATTTAGAAATATTTAAATAATCAAAATTAAGAAAAGTTGAGTTTTTTTTTCCGAAATCAAAAAAACTTTCTTTTTTTGATAAATCTTTATTAATATTTAAAATAGATTAATTAATGTTAACATTAGAATTGTTAAAATTTTGATTATTATTATTTGAAAGAAAATTATTATTACTATTATTATATTATTATCTTATTATTATTATTTTTATTATCAATTATTATTATTATTTTTATTTTTACTATTACTATTTTAATTTTATTTTTTATATGTATCTTAATTTAAAAAACTTTTCACTATTTCACTTTTTTATTTCATATTTATATTTTTTATATTTTTTCTCGGTTATTTTGCTTTGTTATATATATAATCTTTATAAAAATCTGTATATTTTTACAATTCTTAAAGTTTCACTTTTAATTATTCATCTTTTAATTATAAATGATCTTCTATATATTCTTTTGACGTTTATTCATTTAAAACTCTTAATTAAAAATCATTTTTTTTTATAACTATACATTCACCATAATTACTTTCACATATAGCTGTAAATTATCTTTTTTTTATTCTTTTATTATTTCTTCTTCTCCTATAATTTCTCCTTTTGAATACATATATACCTATTTTTTTTGTTTAAGTTTAACTAAAATAAAAAACATAAAAAAAAAATCAACTTTTATTTATTTAGAAATTCTTTTTCCTTTATTCATAAGTAAATTTTTATTATTATTTTCATTTTCATCATCTTATTTATAAAACCTTTTTTCATACTTAAAAAATAAAAAAAAAATTAAAAATATTTTTTTTTTTATAAAAAATCATACTGCGAAATCTCCTTATAAAATAATAAAAACTTCTTAAGGTTCATTTCCTTCTTTAAAAAGCTTATCTCCTTTAATATATTATTGTTTTTGAGAATTTAAATATAAATTCCTTATCAAATTAGCATTCCATGTTTTTAAAAATGGCATTTTAGCAAATATACCCATTTCATTATTAATTCGTTCTTCTTCTTTTTCTTTCAAAATTTATAAAAATTATTTCTTTTCTAAAGTAGCAAAATGACATTCACTTTCACATATAATAGTTGCTAATCTTGGTTTATTATTTAATAATGCTAATTCTCCAAAACTACTTCCAGTTTCTAATGCTTTTACTCGTCTTAAATCAGTTTAATTAGGTAATCTTATATGAACTCCTACAGTTCCTTATAAAATTATATAAAATGTTGAACCAATTGAATCTTTTTTTTTTTTGTTTGATTTAAAAAAATAATAATATTTAAATTTAAATAAATATAAAATATAAATAACCAATTTGAAAAACTATTTAATCTTAATTTAAATATTAGTATTTCATATTCTTGCAACATTTATAATGAACTTTGAAAATAAATAAATAATAAAATAAGTTATTTTTAAAAATATATTAGTTTTATAATTACTATCATTATCTCCAGATTAAATATATTAATAAAAAAAGCCTATGTTTTTAGTCTCATTTATTAATATGTGTAAGTCTTTTTAAGTTCTTTTTTCTGTAGGCTTTTTTAATATATTTACCAGTTACTAATTTTTTTTTTAATTGTTATAAGTTAATAATATGATTTTACATTCTAATATATAAAAATATATTATTATAAAACTTTTTTACTTATTGAATATATTATTATTGCTCATCCATTTATTATTTTTTATCAACAATTTATAAATTTAATTATATTTTATTTTTTTTGTGTTAAATATAAAAATATTTTATTTTATAATTTTAATAATAAATAAATAAAACATTTATATCTAATATAAAAATAATAAAAAAATAATATATATATATATATATTTAATAAAAAAATATAAATTATTTTTATGTATAAAACTTTGCAGTTTTAGATTAATAATAATAAAAATTGCAAAAATATATAAAAAAAGGATAAAATTTATAAAAAATGTAATTTTAGATAATAATGAATAATAATAATTTAAAAAAAGAATAAAATATTTAGAAAGTATATATAAAATAATATTTATTATCATTATATTTTATATATAATAAAATAAATAAAAAAAATAATATATATATTTAATTATAAATAATTAAAAAATATATATTAATATATATATATTTTAATTTTTTTATAAATTATATATATATATCATTATATCTATTTATATATAATTATATACAAACAATAATTTATTTTTATTTTATTTATATATATATATTTTTATAAAAAAATTTTAATCCTAAAACAAAACATAATAAAATAAAAATAATTTTTCTTCATCTTTTTCCTCCCAAACTAACATACAATTCCTTCATGCAAAGTTTCCAATCTTCAGTTAAATTGAAATACCTCATTAGAGTATAAATTTCTTAATAAGTTAAATTAAAACCTAATTTTTTCATACCCACAACTAAATCATTAAATTCTACTATACCTTTATTATTCTTATCAACATGTTTTATTATATCAATTAAGAAATTTTCATAACTATTATATTTGCTTGCAAATTTTTTTAATCTAATTAAAACTTATTCAATATCAGCTTCTCTAAAAACTTCAGGTTTAGATTTCATATATTTATGTGTATATTCATCTGCTCTCAAAAGTTAGAATTAATAAGCTCCTAATTATATTAATTCTCCAATTTAGAAGTCAATTTCATTATAGTATTTTCCACTAATAGGACTTTTATGTAACATTCTTTCTAAAAATTTACCACCCCAAATGCCCGAATTTTTATCGCAAATTTCATATGCCATGACTGTATCATCTCCACAGTAAAAAGAAATTATGAATCTTCTATTATTATCTTCCTTATTTTAAGAAATAAGTCTCGCCTCAAATCTTAATATATATTAATCTTAAGTATGCATTTTATTTATATCCTTTCTTGGAGGTTTTGGTTATAACGAATAAACACTGCCGAGCGAATCTTCCTCACTTCCATATCCATGATAAGGTGGGACTGGTTAGTAAAATTTTTTGATATCTTCTTTTTTTAGAGTTATGGGCATTTGCTATAAGTTTAAGTTTTATAAATACCATTCTTTTGTGAAAGGATCACAATCATAGATTAAACAATCTTTTGAATATATTCTTATTAATTTTCCACATATTAAATCTATTGGGCTGTAAAATTCTTCTTTTTTTAAAGTCATTCCTGGATAATGTGTTAAAATAGGTTCCTTTTTTAAAAAAAAATAATAATAATATTATTTGTTTATATTATAAAAAAATATATATACTTTTGGTAATCTTTTTCTATTTAAAAGTAAAGGGAACGGATCTTTTCCACTATTATGTCTTATAATTTCTTTAATTTCAATTTAATTATCTGCTAAAAAGTAGTTTAAAACAAAATAATTTAGTCCTCCTTCTAAACTTATATCATTCCATAAAATATTAAAAGATAAAACCTAATTTTTTTTTTAATTGTATTTTATTATTTTAAAAGTGTTACTTTTCTATCATTTTCAATATATTATTTTAATCCTCCATTAGGATGCCCTCCTCCTAATTTAACTTCGTTATATTCATTGTATTCTTTTGTATCTGGTGGAGGTATTTTCAAATCCTTTAGTTATCTTTAAACTTCAAAACAGTCTTTAGGCATTGATTCAGGTTCATTTAATGTTACTCCCATATAATCATAGAATTCTCTAGTAAAAGCATCACAGTCGAAAATTCTAAAAACTCTTTCAAAGAAATTTAAATTAATTCCTTATATTTTTTATTTTTTATAAAAATAAATAAATAAGATTTTTTTTTACCTAAATTCAAATCTTCCCATTAATAATAACTTTCAGTCGAATTTAGTTGTTTAGGAATTTTCTATCTTTTAACAAAAACTCCTTATTGAATTCCAGAATTAGAAACTCTGGGTTCATTTATATGCATAGTTCCATCAGATAAATAGAAATAAATAGCACATTTACGAATTCTATAATTTTCATTTGGATTTTCTACTACACTTTCTTAAAAATAAGCCATAAATTTTAACACTTATCTATCTATATTTTAACCAAGGAGGTTAAATTCTAGGGATATAATCATTTAAAGGTGCTTTTCCTTTATTTATTTTTTACAAAAATATAAATAAATTATAATATATATCATTTGTTTTTTATTTACTTTTTCCATAAGTCAAATTTAATGGTGTTCCCATTCTTAAATTATCAACTAAAAATTAATCGCTTTTTTCTTCTATATAATTGGTTTTTTCTTAAGGTATTTTATTTATTAATGAAAATTGTTAAGTTTTATTATGAGCTTCTTTTACGAAATCTGGGAAACAATGACCAGGTAGTAAAGGAACTGTTTTGGGTAAATTAAGATTTATCATTTATTTTTCTTTTACTATTTTTTTTATTATTATAAATGTATTTCTATTTAAAAAAAAAAAAAAATATTGATTTATTGAAATGTTTTTTTTATATATATATATAGATATATATATATATATTTTTGAAGTTTAAATTAAACTAAATTACTTTTTTTTTTTTAAGTTACATTTTTTAAAAAAAATTAAAATATAAAGATTAACAAAAAAATAAAATATTTTTATATTTTTTAGTTCATTATACTACTATTAAAAAATAATAATTATTTATATACATATTTATATTATTATGTTTTTTTTTATAAAAATATTAATTAAATAGAAGAAAAAAATGAAAAAAAAACCATTTTTTTTACATATAAAATTATTCAAAAAGTATTTTCTCCTAATATATTTTCACATATAGGGCATTTATGAATAGCAGTTTAAAATTTATTTGGAAAATAGTAAGGAACAAAACATAATCCACATAAAAATCCAAAAATCCCAAACAAAATCGATATTGAATGTGTTTTACACGTTGGTTTATACGAAATTTAAGTTTATATATTATTTTAACAATATTAACAAAAAAAATTAATTGAATTTCGATATTAATTCAGATTTATTTCTATTTTTTCTTTATTTATTTTATCTTCATCTTAATTTATTGGTAATTGTGAAGTCGAATTAATTTTTTTATTTGTAATTTTATTAAAAGTATGATCGTTGGTAATGTTTTTTGTTAGTATATTAGACGAACTTAAATAATTACTTGTACTTTATTACAATGTATTTTTTTTATCATTTTTTTATAAATAATTTGATGTATTGCTTTCGGCTTAGCGCTACGTTACTTCATCATTTGAAAGGGCCTCGGAAATAGGTTAAATTCCATATATTTTACATATTTATGAACTACTTATTTAATGAGGCTCTTAAAATTCATAATTTTCGTATAAGTTTTTTGTATATTAAATATATTAATACATTTCTTTTTGTGTATATTTTTTTATGTATTTTATTTTTTGTAAGAAGATGTTAAATATTAATATAGTTTTTTTTTATTTTTTATTTTTTAATAATATTTTTATTATTATTTTTTATTAAAAAAAATATAAATTAATATTAAAATGAATCGCTAAAAAATTAATGAAAATAAGAATTTTTTTATTTTGTTATTTAATTTTTATTTTTAACAATTTTTTTTTTTTATTATAAAAAAAATAAAATTTTATATTAAATTATAAATGGAGTTTTTTTTTTTTTTTCAAAAAAATAAAATAAAAAAATACTAAGTTAAATAAAATATTTTTAATAAAAAATTTAATTATTATTAAAAAAAATAATATTAAATGTTTTAGGTTTGTATATTTATTAAATTAACTAATAAATATTGTCTTTTAATATACTTTTTTTAATAAATACTTAATTAAATTTTATTTTATTTATAAAACAATTAATATAAAAAAGTAAGCAAAAAATAATTCAATTTCAATAATTTTGTAAAATTGATAAAATTTATTTATATAAAATTAAATACATATAATATCAGATTTTTTATTAATTTAATTTTTTATATATTGTTTTTTTAAAAAAAATAAAAAAAACTTAAAAAAACAATTAAAAACAAATATTTTTTTATATTCATTTTCTTAAAATAAACAAATTATTAAATGAAATTTTGTTAACAAAAAAAAATTTGTAAATTAAATTTCTTTATATCGAAAGAAAATATTAAATTTTACTAGTTTAAATATATGATTAGCATAAAAAAAGAAATGCTTATGTAAAATAAATAAAATATTTATACCATTATTTAATGATATCTAAAGATTTAAATTAAAATATATTAAATGATGTATTAATTATATTACGATTTATTAAAAATACGATTATTTGAATGTTATTTTAGGCTGTTTTTAAGATAGAAAATTATTAATTACATTATGTCACTTATCCTTTAGGCAGATGAAAGCTAAATTTTATTTTAATAAATAGAAATAGTTCTTTAAAATTATAAACTAGAAAAATTAAAAATATTTAAAATAATACATATAATAAATTTAAGTTAAATAAAAACCTTGTTTTTAACCTCTTAGTATGAATATGCTTAAATACAATTTCATTATTAAGATAATAAAATGTAAATATTTAATATCCTACTTAAAGGAGAATTTTTAATTGTGTATATTTTTTTAAATGTATATAAAAAAACTACGAAACATTAATAATCGCTTGTTTTGTGTAAAATATTTATTTATATACTATAAAATTTATTATTTCTTTTCTTTAAATATTAAAATAATTAATTTTTATTATCTTTAAAATTTAATTAATTGAATAAGTAGTTTATAAAATATTGATTTTTTTAAGATAATATATACCAGAAAAATACAAAAATAAAAAATTGAAATGACCTGTATTTTTATTATCTGCTTAATTTAATAATTATTTGATTTCATTTTATTAAATAAAAGTTTTAATAACATAATTTTATTTTCTAACTCTTTTATAATTATATAACCTTATAAATATTAGACAATATTATCTATTTTTATTTAAATAAATAAAAAAATACAATCATTATCAAATTTAAAATGTTTAAAATTTAAAAAACTTTTTATTTATTAAAATAAAATTTTATTTTTCAAGCGTTTTTAATATTTTAATTTTCATTATTTTATATACACCTTTTTTCATCTTATTTTCCTTTTTTAAACCGCGGTGTCCCTTTTTTATTAACCTAAAAATAAAAATACATATCCATATATTTTATAAAAAATACCTCTTAATTTTTAAGAAACTCTTTTTTAAAATTAATATTTCTCATTAATATTTTCTTAATAAAAATATATAAATATTAAAAAATAATTTCTGTAATATAATTAAATATGTAAATTCATTCTTATTATATTATAAAAGAGTTATTATTCCTTCTAAACCTCTATTTTAATGCTTATATTAGTCAATAATTACTTTTCTATAATAATCTTACTAATATATATATATTTATTGTTTTAATTTCCTTAACAAATAAAATTAGTTAACGATTCTTTATTATTGAAAAAAATAATATATATTTTTTGTTTATCATTTCATTATCTTTATATTTCATCTAATGAATATTTATTTAATATTTCCTATTTATAATTATATTATAAGAGTCAATAATAACTTAAAGTTAATTCATTTCTTTTATTTCCTTTATAATATATTAAGAACTTTTTATTTATTAATAAAATCTCTCCCTTTATATTGTTATTAAAATATAAAAACTATTTATTTATTTCTTTTAATTTTTATTATTGTATTTCCTCATTTTTTATTTTGGTGTTTTCTTATATATGAAATATTTATATTTCTATTTAAAATTATTTGCTATCTAAAATATAAGAATTTAGCTTTTTAAAAATTTTAACATTTTTTTGGTTTTATAAAATGTTAAACTAAAAATGCTTTTTTTTAATAGAATAATTTATGCTTATATTAAGATATAGAAATCCTAGTTTTTATTTTATTGTTTATAGCATTATATAATAATTATTTTTGCTTTGATTTTATAAATAATAACTCATATTATATTTATGGTCTAAGCTTTAATTGTCTGTCTTACTATTATATGATTTTTGAATTTATTTAAGAATATATTAATATATATATTATACGTAAATAGTTATAATTTATATATATATTAGAATTTCCTTTTAAATGACTTTTATTTTGGTTTTAAATTCTTTTTTTTATTGAAGTTGGCATAATAAAATATAAAATTTATAATAATAAATAAATAATATATAAATAAATTAAAAAAATAACTTTTTTATAATAAATTTTTATTTATTATCCTGTTAAATAAATTTTTAAATAAAAAATATGAAATTAATAAATTTTATAATTTTTATTTCAATTTATTCATATGAAAATATTCTTTTAATAAAATTTTTGCATTATTATTATTTTAATTAATTTTAAATATATTAATAAGCTTTCTAATAGTAATAAAATTTATTAATGATTGCAAAAAGCCATAGTTAACATTAACAAAATTCAAATTAAATAGAACATATTACTAGTAAATATATTTTTAATTTATTTAAATTATTTATATATTTGATTATTATTTAATCAAAAGGCCCTACCTTTGATAATTAATATAAACTTTAATATTATAAAAATAATGAATAAAAATATATTAAAGATTATTGGAAACAAAATGATTATGTATTTTTAAAATATAAAACTCTATTAAAAAATAATATTTGTTAAAATAGGAAATAAATGAGGCATAAACATTATTAAAAAACGCATAAATAGAATATTAAAGAAAAATAGCCGAAGAAAACTATCTTTTGGCAAATTAAAGGCATGAATTAATAAAGAGATAAAAACAAGATATTTAATAAGAAATGACTTTTTAAGAATAATTAAATTTATATAGATAAAGGGATGCATAGTATATAAAATAATAATAATAAAATGTATTTATAAAAAATATATTTATTTATATATAATTATATAAATATATATAAATATATATATATATATATATATAATATATATATATAAAATATAGATTGATAAAGATTTTTAAGTTTTTCATTAAATTAACAAATAATATAATTTAGAAAATAATGTTAAAAGTTTGAATATAAATTAATTTAATGTATATTTATTTAATATATATTTTTTTTTAATAATTATTTTTATATAAATATAGCACTAGTTAAAATAAATAGATTAAAATAATTATATTATTAATAAAGAGAAAAAAATTTTACGTTATAAATGTGACGATCTTGTATATGAATAAATAAAATATAACTAATTAAAAAAATTAAAAGAAGAAGAATAAAAAAAACTAGATAGATAAATTTTAGAAGCACAAGCTTTATAAGAAAAGTAAAAGGCTATATTAGAAAAGGAATACAAAAAAAAAATATTTTAAGATTTTTCTTAAGTAAATATAATTAAATCTTAGATTGAGAAATAAATAAAATACGATTAAGCATATTAAAATTAAAATATTCCATATAATCATGTATATATGTTAAAAATTAATATTATTTTGTTATTTTTTAAAAAAAAGACTAGAAATTATAGAAAATCTCCTTCTTATTCATTAAATTTTTAAATTTAAGAAAATAAAAATAATAAGTAATTTAATTATTAATCTAATAAAAATTAATAAATAATATAATAATAAAAATAACAATAATAATAACCATAATAATAATAATAATAATAATAATAATAATAATGATGATAATGATTATATTAATAATTATAATAATAATTTTATTCAAAATTAATAAAATTAATTAACATAAAATAAATTAATTCATTATGTAAATGATTTTAGAAAAACTAGATAATTTAACTACAATAATTATCTTAATAATTAAAATAACTTTGGAGGTGTTTAATATATACATAATAGTATTTAAAAGGACTCATAATTTATTAAAGATAATATTGGTCTTTATGCAGATCATGGATATAATATAGTTTCAGGTCATAGATATTGATAAATAAAATAAATATTTGAAAATATTTAAATTAAAAAAAAAATATTGTAATTTCCAAAATATTAAATAAAATATTATATATTATTATATATTTTTTTGAAAAATAAAATAAAATTAATTTATCTATTAAATCATTTTTTATTAATAAAAAAAAGCAAATAAATAATTAATTTATTAAAAATGTAATAATTTAAAGTAGGTTCTTAAAAATTCTTAGTATAAAATCATTTAGAGTCTGAAAAAAAGCAACTTTAAGACTTATAAAATTAACGTTCAGCCACATTAAAAGTAAGAAAAAACTCTATATTAATGCATTAAAGTCCTGAATAAAAAAACATAAAAACTAATTCGAAATGTTAAATTAGTTTTGATTGTACAGAACAAGATTAAGTCGAAAATTTTCCTATATTATAATTAAATGAAGATTTTTAATAAAAAACCTAAAATTAAAAAATACTTAAAAAAACTGAAGATAAAAAAGTTCTTATAATAAACACTATAATAAACTAAAAACAAAATGATTTATATTATAAAATGCGAGAAATATTTTATTTTTGTGATTTAAATTATACTTTTTAAAATAATTAAAATGATTTTTTAATAACTCCAAAAAGTGAATACAATCGCCGAATATATTATAAGATTTTGCAAATGTAAAGAAAATTCGAAAAAACATTTTTTGATAAAAAACTTATTGAAAAATTGATAAACATACTTGAAGAAAATTACCTAAAATATGACGCTTTTATAATTATTCACGATACAAATTCCATGACATATACAGGCAATTTTATTTCCTTTGCATTCGAGAATTTACGTAAACCAATAATTTTAACAGGCTCTTAAGTTCCTTTAAATATAATGAGAAACGATTAATTTAATAATCTTTTAGGAGCACTTACTATTGCAGGGCATTTTTTTATTCCTGAGGTACTTATTTACTTTAATAATAAATTATTTAGGGCAAATAGGTGCACTAAAGTAGATTCTTAGGGTTTAGATAGTTATTCTTCACCTAATTATTGTCCTATTGCGTAGTTAAAAATTCATATAGAAGTAAATTGGAATGCTATTCTTAAAATAGAAGGTGATGATGAGCTTGTCGTTTATAAAAATATTACAAAATAAAATATTGAGTGTCTATAATTAACACCTTTATTCGATAATAAGATGCTTAAAAGAATAATAGATTTAAATTAGGCCAAAGGAATTATTATTGAAGGATATGGGCCGGGAAATATACCTATTCATGATTAAGAATTTCTTGATATTATTGAATAAGCTTATGAGAAAAATATTATTATTTTAATAATTTTTTAAAGCTTTTCTTCATACTATAGTATTCATAATTCTGATATATATGATAAATATAAACTTTTTTATGGAGGAGATATGACTTTTGAAGCATCTTTAGCTAAATTAGCTTATTTATTAACTAAATGTAAAATAAATTCTTAAATTATAAATATATATATATAAATAAAAAAAAGAATATAATAAAGATATAATAAAAGCTTAATTCCAAAAAAGCTTAAGAGGAGAAATTAGTGTAAATAAAAATGAACTAAAATTTGAAATAAATAATGCAAATTTAATATCATCTATTACTGAGAATATTAATAACTATAATAATCCATAATTTAAAACTATTAAAAGTATTATCTTACCCGGAATAGCTTGTTATATGGCTTAATATGGTTTGATGTACCATTTGTACTAAATGAAATAACAAAACATTAATTTTCGATTTTATGATTATTATAAAAGAACTGCTTTACATATATCAGCAAGAGAATAGAAAGAAGAAGTTGTAAAATTCTTGATTAAAGAAAATATAGATATTAATATGTAGGATGAAGCCGGATATTCAGCATTATATGAAGCTATTTTAACAAAAAATAAAAGAATTGTAAATTTTTTGGTTTAAAATAAAGGTGAAATTAAAGCTGATAAAAATTAATTAACTAATGTATTATTTGAAAGTGTTATTAATGATGATTTGGAAATGATCAAGTTATTTTTTCATTCAGGACTTAAGAATTTAAATATATATACAAATGTTGATAATAGAAATATTGCTCATATAGCAGCTTGTGAAAATAAATGGGAAATTATAAAATTTTTAAAATATGTAGTACATTTTGATTTTTCATAAAAAGATGTTTTTAATAGAACACCTTTAGATGATGCAATTTATTTTTAAAATACAAATATAATTAATTAATTAAAAAATATTGCTTAATGAATTTTAAATTTATTATAATAATATATATAGTATTTTAAATATATAAAATTGTATAAAAATTTTTAAATTTATAAATAAATAATTAAATGATATATATAATCAAATAAATAAACAAAACCAACTAACAAATAAAAAAAATAAAAATATAGGGTATAAAGATAATAATTTTTTATCTTAAGGTACTATACTAGACATAAATGCAATTGAAGCTTTTTTTAATAAAATTAAAATAAGATACAAAAAAATTAAATAAATATAATTATAATTATTAAAAAATATATAAATATATAAATATATATATATATATTTATTATATTTTATATTTTATATTTTTTACAGCAACATGACCATATGTAAGCAATTCCAACTACTCCTAATTTATAAAGAAAATGGTTAAATATTATATTTACAAAAGTTATTATAATAGATGCTGCTACAACTGGAAATATACAATAACCTAATATACATACACTTTAAAGAAAATGTGCATTTCCTCCTAATAAATTTATATTTACTGTTATTACTAATGATCCTCCAAATACTAATATACTTATTTATCCGTATATGTTATTATTGTCATTTGTATTTAAGCTTAAAATACTTTTTTTTAAAATTAAAAATAAATAATTAAATTTAAATTTTTTTAATAAATACAAAGCTAAAATTAAACAAAAAATCATAGGCCCCCATAGATCCCCTTAATTTTATTTTTTTATATATTATAATATTTATTTTTACATTCTTATAATGCTTTTTTATCGTTTTCTCGAAAATAAGGAATTAATACGTATCTAAGTTTTATTGCTATCATTTTTAGATCTCGTATCTTTTTTATTTTTACATTAATATTTTTTGTTTGTTTTTTATTTTTAATTTTTTTACTATAGATCTTGAAATAGGTTCATCTAATGTGTCATAATTATCTGGTATAGAATTATCGAAATTCTTTATAAATTCTAGATTTGCTAAGTAATTTCCTGGATCTATTTTTATTATAATTATTTAATATATAATTTATTTTAATTTTGTATTAAGTAAGACTTTTAGCATCCACTTTTGACTTTGTTAACATACTCATTATAGTTTATATTATGTATTTTTTATTTTTTTAATATCAAATAAAAATAAAATATTAATTAAAAATCAAAATTATTTTATTTATTAAAAATAAAAATTATGTATATAATCGTTATTTAAAATAAAATATAATATTTAATTGATTTCTTCAATAAATAGACTTTTATTCATTAATATTTTAAAAATAAATGTTAAGTTAATTTTGTTAAATATTAAATTTTTCATATATACAATTTAAGTTTGATTTTTTTTTTTTTAGTAAAAATTTTTTACTAAATTAAAATAATTACTTAAGACTATTAATAAATTAATATATAGATATTATAAATAAATACGAATTCCTTGAAATCTAAATATTTTTTATAATATATATTTATCTGTACTTAATATAAATAAAATCAAATATATTGATATTTATATTACTTTATTAATTTTTTTTTTTTTTTACATTAATTATTAATTAATATATAAATAATTTTTTCTCTTTAATTAAAATGTTTTTCTTTTTTTTTTCAATTTTAATATATCTCATTATTTATATTGTATTAAACTGTTTATTTTTTCGAGTAATTTTTAAGAATTTTCAAGATTTTATAATCCATTTATTTATAATAAAGGAAACACTAAATTTAAATATTCATCTAAAAAAAAAATATAAAAAATACAAAAACATATAAATAATAAGTAAATAAACTGATAAAAATTACTTTTTTAAATAGCTTATGCATTTGTTTCTACCTTATTTAATAAATTATTTTTCGGATTATTTTTTACAGGAGTTGAAAATTCATTTACAGTTTTATAAGTTTAAAATCCTTTGTTTTTCTATAAAGATAAATTAGAAGCACTTGGATATTAAGTAGAAACAATATCTTATTATTTTAAATTTGGACTTTTTGAAACCTATTATTCATCGTTTTATTATAAGTTTTTCTTTAGAATCTTAACAAAACAAGGAGATTTAATGTCTTATAAGTATTGACTTTATTAATTTATTCTTCTTTTTATTGTAGAATTCCAATGATTTTTTATAGCATTGTCAGTTCTTCCTGGTAAAAACTTAGTAATATAAGCCCATTTGTTTCCATATCTGAAATTAAAATAAAAATACGTTAATATTTATAATTAATACATATATAAAAAATATTAAATATACAATTTATGAGTTTCTATTATTTTTCTATCTTCTTCTTCAGTCCATTTATCTTTTTTAATATCAGGATTTAGATGATTATGCCATCTTTATTATTAAAAATATATATCATAAAATAATTAAATAAAGTATACCTTTCACGACATTATTTACCTATTCTTCCAGGTAAATGCTTTGCTATTTAACTCCATTTTCTAGGCCCTTATTTGATTACTAATTAAGTAACAATTTCATCTTCTTCTTTTGTCCAAGGACCTTTTACAAGATTTGGATTAAGAACTTTCTGCCATCTATGTAAGCATTAAACATCTGTACGATTTTCAAAATATGAGGCTATTTTTTTCCAGTTTTTTGGCCCATGCTTTTTTACTAAATCCTTTAAAAGCTCGTCTTCTTCAGGTTTCCACCATCTTTTTAGGCGAGGTTATGAAGATTCGTTTTGAGAAGTACTGTTTTGAGTATTTTCTGGGTTTGGGGTTAAGACTGAATCTAATAATTGGAGAAAAATCTCGTTTATTTAATATGAGTCTTACTTTAGGGCAATAGGTGTTTAGATATATTACATTTTTATATATAATTTTTTTTTTTTTTATTTTAAGTTTTTTTTTTTTTTTTTTCTGTTTGTATCTGTTTTTTATTTTTCCCTTAATTTATTTTTAGTGCCTTATTTATTTTTAAAATTATATAAATATATAAAACTATAATTTATCACAAAATAATAAAATATTCATTTTTATAACTTTTTTTTTATATAATATATTAAATATTTTAATCATTAAAAAATTAAATACTATTATATTATTAATTTCTAATTTACTTTTATAATAAGTTTTTGATATTTTAGTTTTCATTTTATTTATTTAATAAAAAAAAAATATTTTTAATAAATTTATTTTATAATATAATGAATTAATAAATACTTTACTAAATAATTCATATACATTATATGTTATAAAAAAATAAAATAATAAACATAAAAAAAAGAAAGTATAAAAACATATTTAAAAACACGAATAAAAATAAATAGTTTTATGAATAAATTAAAATTAAAATAGTACGAATATATATATTTATTAAAAAAAACAAAAAAATAAAAAAATAAAAATACAGAACAAAATATGAGAATTGATAAATGTTATTTTTGTTCCGGTCCTTTATATCCTGGACATGGTGTAGCGTTTGTTCGTAATGATTCAAAGGTAAATAAAGCATATAAACATAAAAATAAGTTAATAAATAAATAAAAAATAGATGTTCAAATTTTGCAGATCTAAATGTCATAGACATTTCAAAGCAAAACATAATCCTAGAAAAATGAAATGGACAAAAGCATACAGAAAGGCTCACGGAAAAGAAATGATAAAAGACTCTGTATTTGATTTTGAATAGAAAAGAAATGAGCCAGTTAAATATAATAGAGATTTATATGTAAGTACAATAAAAGTAATGAAAAAAATTGAAAAAGTTAAAGAAAATAGAGAAAAGCTTTTTAAGGAAAACAGACTTAAAATTGCTAAAAGAATCAAAAAGTAATAAATTAATGCAGACTTAGAAAAACATGAAACTTTACTACCTTAAGGAAAACTCAAAGAATAAGTCAAAGAAAGAATAAGATAAAAACATGAAAAAAAAGTTAAATAATTGTTAAAAGGAGAAAATAAATAAAAAGCTTAATAAAATAATAATGATAGTGATGTTTCTATGGATTAAGAAAGTGATTGAAAAGTTTTTAATAAAGAATAATTTTTTTTATATATATAATGTATTTTTTTAATAAATATTCTATTATTATTTTGCTATTATTTTTAGAATTAATTATATAGAGAATTTTTTGTTTTTTTTGTTCTTATTATATTATATATAATAAATTAAATTTCTTAAAACAAAAAATATGATAATTAATAATTTAATTAGATTAATAAAATAAAATTATATTTTTAAATTTATTTAAGACAAATTTAATATATAATATAATATTTTTATAAATATTCTTCTTTATTTAAAATCTAATTTTATTTATATCCTAAATTTCATTTTTGATGATACTTTTAATTTCTTTTTTTAATAAAAAAGTTTAGTAATCATAAATTTATTATCCTTCAGTAAAAAAAACTAATATTAATATATCTATTTTATTATTTTTTGTTCCTTAAAAGACTATTTTCTATATCGTCTGAATTATTTTTATATTTAAATTAATTATTATATGAAATTTAAAAATGATTATTATTAAAAAAAATATTTTCATCCAAAATAAATGATGAATTTTTTTTCCTTCATTAATTATCCTCAAAAAAAAAGTAATTTTAATATAATTATTAAAATTACTAAGAAATATTTTCTAATAAACAGTTAAAAATACTTTCTCATGTGAAATAAGTAATTAGAGTATTTAAATATTATTTATTATAGAATCTTATAATCTTTCAAAAAATTGATATCAGGATTTTTGAAATTATTTTGAATTAAATATTTATGTGCGTGAAGTTTCTATATATTCTAAAAAAAAAATCTACTAATAATTTTAAGAAACTGCTTAATTGATTTTTATCTGAATTTCCAGCTTATCGTTTTTATTTATTATTCTTTTTTTTATTATTACATGTATATTATTTATTAAATTTTCTCAATATTTGTTATTTTATTTTCTTATTTATTAATTATTAATTTAAATCAACGAAAAATTATATTAATTATTTTCTAATTTTCTGTTTTATTTTAAAGGGAATTTTTAACTTTTTTTATATATTTTCATTATTTTTATTTTAACTGAGAGACTTATTTTTAATTATTTATTTTAAAATTTATTTTTATTGAAAATTTTTTAGATTTATTTTATTAAAAAATTAATATAGTTTTAAATCTCACATAAAAATATTTATCCAGATTTTTATTTTTCTCTTAAATTTAAAAGATTCTACTCTAAAATAGTACAGTTATTATATTTCTATTATTGAATACAATTTTGAAATTGAAGCTTAATTTTATTGTTCATCAATTCAGGCTTTCATTTTTTGAAGATACTCTTTGATTTTCGCAATTAAAGGTTTGTAAGCAATAAAAATAATAAGTTAAATTTCTTTATATTACTAATTAAATTTAATTTAAGGTCTAAATATTAAAAAAACATGTAATATGATTAATTATAATAAATTATTGAAAATTAAATTTAAAAAAAATAAAAATAAAAAGAATTAAAAAATAAATAATAAATAATATAAGTTTATTAATACTAAATATTTTGTTAAATATATATAAAAAATTATATATGTATGTATTTATTTTATTTTATAAATTTTAAAATAGTTTTGTAAACTATTTAATTGTTTAAGCTTTATTTTCAGAAATATTAAAAATATTTTATTTAATAATAATTAAAAAAAGAAAATAAAAAATAAATAATTAAAAAAAAGAAAATATATATAATATATAAATATAATATATATATTTATATTAATTTTAATTTATATAATATATATATATATATATTAAAAATACAATGTTATAAAATTTCTATATTTTTTTTAATATATACCTTTTTTATTAAAATAAAATATATTTAAGATAAAATTTTTATTATAATTTTTTTTTTTAAACATATTACCGTAATGCATATATAAATACCAAATAATTTTAAATATATATAATTTGTTTAAAAAAATAAAAAAAATTAAAAATTATAAATTTTATCTATATATTTTATTAACTTAATTTAAATAAAAATAATTTTTTAAATTATTATAGTTTAGTAATAAATATTATTTAGTAAATTATTTATTGTTTATTATAAAAAATAAATATTTATAATGTATTATTTTAAAAAAAACATTAATTAATTTTAAATTCAAAATATAACATATCGTTAAAATATATAATATTTATAAATTTTTTTATTAATAAATATATTTGTCTTATTTAGTCTTAATAATGATAAAAAATAAAAAAATATTATAACTTTTAAATTAAATTAATTAGTTTTCTTTAAATAGATATTCAATATTAAAATTTATCATTATTAAAAATATTGATTAAACTAATATGTTTTAATTTATAAAAATAAAATAAATTACTATTAATTAATTTTTAAAAAAATTGTATTTATTAAAAATATAATTAATAATATATAAAATATTATTATTATAATTATTATTATTATTAATATAATTATTATTATTATTATTATTATTTTTATTAATTACAAAATCATTTAATATTTAAAATAATTAATTTTTAATTTTTTATCTTAAATATTTATATTCTTTAAATATCTAAATATTTTTTTTTTTTTTAGTTTAAGATATTAAATAATAATCAAATAAAAAATAAATATTTTATAAATAAAATCATTAATTTAAATTTATAAGTATTTTTAATTTTTATAAAAGAAAAATATTATAATTTATAATTTATTTTTTATTAATTTTTAATATTAAATAATAATATTATATAAATGACTCTAAATAATGAATATATATATAAATATATATTAATTTTTATTTTGTTTTTTAATACTATATTTTATTATATTTTATATTTTTTAATTATAAATTTTTTTATTATATCAATAAATTTAAAAATATAACATTTCTTTTTTATTTAGAGATTTTGAATTAATATATATAAAAAAAAACTCTAAAACAAAGTGATATATATTTACTTTACTTATATTTATGAATAATAGATAATAATTTCAAAAATTAATATATTTTTAAATATACACGTAAAAAAATAACATAAACATACATATATATATAAAAGAAGAAATAATTCTCATATTTATTAAAAATAAAAAAATAAAAAAAAAGAAAATTAATTAAATTAAAAAGATAATATAAAAGATATAATATATATAAAAAAAAAAATATAATATAATAAAAAAGATTATATATGTCTTCTACAACTCCAGAACCCAGATATTGTACCATATATCTCCGTCCCGAACAATCCGAATAACAATCCGCTTAAGAAATAAAAACTTTATTACAAAGTAAGCAAATCGAAGACAAGATACGTGGTTTAAAACATTTAATATACAATATATCAAACGACGATAACTTCGACCGAATGACTATGACTGTAATAAACACTCTAACTCCTTTACAAACAGACAACCATAACTTGAAAAAGATTCTTCTTTTTTACTGGGAAGTAATAGAGAAATTAAATAAAGAAGGTAAACTAAAAGACGAGATGTTTTTAGTCTGTAATTCATTAAGAAGTGATTTATTACATCCAAACGAGTATTTAAGAGGCCGTACATTAAGACTAGTATCTCGAATAATGCACAAAGGAATTTTAGAACCTTTAATATCTTCTATAATGGAAGGATTAAATCACAAACACACATATGTCCGAAAAAATGCAATAGTGGCCATATATTAGATTTTTTTGCATTTCGGTGATGAACTAATTAGTGATATTGACTCTGAAATGGAGAAAGTGCTAAATAACGAAAACGATTTATCTACTAAAAGAAATGCATTTTTATTACTTTTCCATACTAATTAATAAAAAGCTATGGATTATCTATATTAGTAAATCCTAGATGATAGAGTTGATGATATGGGAGATATTATGTAACTCTCAGTTCTTGAATTATTCAGAAAAACTTGCAAATAAGATCCTACTTAAAAATAAAGACTAATGAAAGCTATTCTTTACTTTTAAAAATCAAAAAGTCCTTCAGTGTAATTTGAATGTGCAAATACATTAACTTAATTATCTAACTCGCCAAATACACTAAAACTTGCAACTTCTATATATGTGTAGATTTTACTTAATAATACTGAAAATAATGTTAAAATGGTTATTTTGGATAAGCTAATGTCTATTTTAGCGATTGAACCAAAGTTTTTGGAAGAATAACTTGTCGATATTACTAAAATATTGAACACTTAATCATTTTAAATTAGAAAAAAAACAATTGAAATTATACAAGTTTTATTAAATGCGAAAAATATTACAATAATTTTCCCTAAAATTTCAAAGGAAGTTAAAAAAGCCTAATAAGAGGAAAAGTATTAAATATAAAAATAATTATAATATTACATATATAAATATATTCATAAATAGTAAAGAGTATATAAAATTATTACTTGATTTCGTTGAATATTCTGTAAACAATTTCGAATAAGTAGTTGATGAAGCCATGAATTTAATAAACGAATAATTTCTTACAAGTTCCAAAGCTTCATAAAAAAATCAAGACTAAATCAAAAATATCCTAAATTCTTTAATTATAAATTACCCGCAATGCCGTGAAAAATTAATATCGAAGATATTGGAAAAATTCTATGATATAAAAAGTCTATATATATTTAAAGGAGTTCTTTGGATTTTAGGTGAATATGCCACAGAAGATAGTACAGAATTAAGTTTATAAGAAATAATTAGATCAGTAGGTACTTTACCAATAGAATATATTGGTAAAACTACAGAAGAGGAGAAAAATAATAAAGATAATAATAATACAGTTAATTAAGCAAAAGAGAGCACAACTACATAAAAAAAATATAAAACAGTGATTTTAGCTGATGGTACTTATGGTACTGAACTTGTAGTTGATTAAAAACAGGAATAAGAAGAAAATGAGGAAATTAGTAAATTAAAAATTATTATTTCTTAAAATGCTTATATAGGATCTATTTTGGCTCGTTGTGCATTAAAATTAATTCTAAAATTAAAAAATAATATGAATAAATTTAATAAATATAGTAGTTAAATTTTGTTAATTTTATGCTCTTTATTAAGACTTTATACTAAAAATTAAACTATATATGAACAAGATTCCGTTGAAAAAATTCATTTTAGTATAAAATTACTTACTAATCCTTCCTATTTTACACAAAATAAAGTCGAATGGCTTGAAAATTAACTAAAAGTTCCTAAATTACATAAATCTTATTTCGGAAAATAAAATACTTAATAAGAAAATAAAAGAAAAAGTATATAAAATAACCTGATGATCTTATAGTTATTAGAGCCTTAAAAGCCAAAAAATGGAAGTAGATCTTTCTGATGATGAATTAGGAGATTTCGAATTAAAAAAACAAGAACATGAAGAAGGAGATTTTGTCAAGAAACTCGGAAAGCTAATCTAATTAACAGGATACAGTGACCCTATATATGCAGAATCGTTTGTCCGTATACACAAATATGATATTTAATTTGAAACTCTTTTAATAAATAGAACTTCAAAACCTTTATAAAAAGTCCAAATAGACTTTTTTACTTAATAAAGTGATATTAAAAGGGTTATAGAAAAAGCTTAAGCTGTGACTTTATAACCAAATGGATTTGCAAATGTGAAAACATCATTAAAGTTCTCTTCGAGTGATATTGGAGTTATTTTTGGAGCTATTAATTATGAGAATATTGCAGGTATAGAATAAGCTTATCTTATTACAAAAGAAATTGATATTGATCTTATTGATTTTATATATCCAAGTGAAATAGATCTTAATACTTTTAGAGAATTATGGGCTAAATATGAATGGGAAAACAGAATTACATTAAACCCATCTGGAAAGTAATAAATAAATATATATATATATATATATATATATATATATATATATATATATATATATATATATATTTATATTCATATTATTTGTTTTTAATTATTAAATTATATATTTAGTGATCTTTATTAGTTTGTTAATCATATAAGAGAACATTTTAAATTATATTTGCTTAATGATGAGGAAGAAATAAAAAATGCGAATTGTATTTGTGCAAACTTTTATGCAAAAACTAAACTTGATGATGATTTCTTAATTAATCTTAGTGCAGAAATTATTAATAATAAAATTAATGGATATGCCAGAATTAGAAGTAAGGCTAAGGTATTTTTTTATTTTATATTTTTAACTAATAAATTTTTTAGGGAATTGTTGTTAATTTAGGATCTAAATTTAAAATGTGAATAAAGAATTAAAAAAAAAAAAAAAATTAACCGAGTAAATAAAAAAAAAAAATTATATTAAAAAGAAATTAAAAAATATAATTAAAATATTATTAAAAAAATAAACTTATTAAAATATAAATAATTTTTTTTCATTTTTATTTTAACTTGAGTTTCACACATCTTGTAATATTACTTTTTTTTAATATAAAATAAAAATAATATATTTTAAATTTACTCATTTATTTAATTTAATTTCATAATGTTTTTAATTTTTTTTCCAAAATATTCATTATTTTCATTATTATTCAATATACTTTTTTACAAAAACTTACTTTCTTGATAAAATGCATCTAATTATGCTTCAGTAATCGAAGGAAGAGACTCATCCCCACTGATAACATTATCTTCATTTTATAAAGGCCAATCTTATGGCCCAAACAAATTTCTTTTTATAATATTATATTTACAATCCTATTTATAATATCCTTAATTTAATTATTTATCTGAATTTTTCAATTAAGATTTTTTTCTTAATTAATCATTTTCTTTATAAAGTTTTTATTTATAAGTAAGAATCGGATTATTATTTGAGACGACTTAATTTTTTTCTTAATCGATTTTTTTTTTATAATCACTAATATTTTTAGATTAATATAGGAACTCGATATTTTACTAAGAGAGTAATTTTCTTTTCTTAACTTTATTTTCATTTTCATTGTTTTATATTATATCCATTTTCTTCAAATCATTCGAAAAATCATTAGAAAAGTTTAGTTTTTTAAAATTAAGAAAAATTTATTTTTTTTCGTTTAAAAAATCTTTCCTTTAGCAAAAAAAATCCTTTTTTTTTTATCTTTTTTCTTTTAAAGCTTATTTCGCACTTTATTTTCTCGAATTTAAAATGTTTTCAAAATTAATATTATTTAATATTTTGTTATTTTAATTTTTTTACTTTAAACTTTGCATATATTTTTCTGCATTATCTTTTATTTCTTATTTAATTAAATTTTTAAAAACTTTCTCATAGCCCATTTTTTTCTATTATGATTAATTAATTACATTTAATTCAATTATTGGAGTTTTATCAGCTGTAATGTTAATATTCTTTAATTGTTTTCGTTCAATAAACTATCTTACATAATATTAATGTGAAATATCATTCTAAAGAAGATCTTTTCGTTTTATTTTTTCAATAATCTCTTACTAAGCTTCAATGAATTAGGAAAAAAAGGTGTTTTATTTTTTATTATTATGCTTTTGTAATAGCTTATCAAATATAAATGACCCATATTTCGTTTTGTTATTTTAAGGTATTACATTTTCAAGATTTCCAAAAGATTAAACTGTTTAAGGATTAAATTTTACTTTTTAATCACTTTTTTCAAAAAAAATCTAATTTTTAGCAGATACCGAAGATTAAAATTCCTCTTTTTTCTAATTTTTTTAAGACCTCAATGTACATTTATTCATTAAACCAATAAATTAAGTAATACTTTATTATCCGCCAAAAAAAGACTTTAATAATCGTTTAAAATAAGGATTTTTTTTCGATAATTCTAAAGGAAATTCGTTCAAAAGAGGTTTCGCCGTTTAATATCTTGATTATCTCTATTCGGTACTTTTTTAATTATTGATATTTTCATTTAAATTACTGGCATTTTTTTTTTTAATTTCTTATAATATACGTTAACTCATATTACTTTGAAATCCTCCCTAAAGTGTCGATATATATGATGGGTTTTGATTTTTTAATGTTATTATATTGTTTTCATTTTTATTCATTTTTTTTTTTATTATAAATAATAATAATATAAATTAATTTTTTTAAAAAACAAGATTTAGCAATTTATTGCTACATATATAATTTTTTTATATATATATATAAAAAAAGAATAAAATAATTTCGCTTTTGTTGCAATTAAGTTCGAATTCACACCACATATTTAACATTTTTGTGTTTTTTTCCAAAATCAAATAAATAGGCATATCTTCTAAAGCTTTTTTTATCAAATCCTAATTAATAGAAGTGCCAAATTCCATTGAAAGTGAACTATTAATTTCAATAAGCTATATTTAAAAATATTAACCGATTATAAAATCAAATCCAAAAAACTTAAACGAACCTTTTCTATTTAAAAACTGCTTTTTTTTAAAAAAAAATGATTAAATGATAATTTCCTTAATTTTTGATTAAATAAATTTACTTAAAATGCGTTTTTAATTCAATAATTAATCACTTAATTATTTTGAGATCCACATATATCTTTCTTTTTCGTTTTTTAAAATTATTCCTTTTTTTGTTTCTAAATTGCATTGTTAGTCAAATATATGAATTTGTTCTTTAATTTTGCTACTATTATTTTATATTCTATTTAAAAAAAATAATGTAACAAGGCTCATAAAACCATATTTATAAAGGTTTTTAATCCTATATTAGCGTCAATTGTCTCAAATCAAATTTATTTTAATTTAATGGTAATGAATTTTCGATAAATATTTTTGAACTAATAATTTTTGTTTTATTATCTAATATATAATAGATTATTTTTTCTAATTTTTAAAAATATTTTTACACCCCCCTCCCTCTTGTTAAAAAATTAAACATTAAAATAAAAAAATATTTATTTATATATTTAGGTTAATATATTTATGAATAAATTTAATGTTTTTTTATATATTTATTATTATTTTTAATTTAATTTTTGTTTTGTTAGAAATTGCATTTTTTTCAGAGATTTTATTCTTATAAAAAAATGCATTCTTTGGGTGTTATACATAAAAATTGTTCTGTATTTTATATATAATGTATTTGCAAATATATTTAATAATCCGTATATCAGCTCCAGCTCATTCATTATTTTATTTTTTAGTCATAATTTTTATTTAATTATTTAAAGCTTTTCATAATATTATGTTTAATTTTTTTTTATATAAGTAAACTTAAAATCTTGAAATCCTAGTTTAAATTACAAATAATTTAATTTTTTTTTTTACTTAATATATAAATAAAAATGATACAAGCCAACTTTAAATCGAAAAAATGGTTTTCATTTTCAACCAATCTAAATTTATTTAAGTCATACTTAAGGTCATTATAATTTTTTTTTTAAATATAAACTTTTTTTTAATTTATTAAAAATATTTTTATTTAGGAATTATTATTTAAGTATTCTTTTTTATTATATAAATATTTTATTTATCTTATATATTTTTCTTTATTGTTTTGATTTACTATTATTTTTTCTCTTGTTTATTTATAAAAATTTATAACATAATAATTCAAAGATTTTAATTATATAAAAATTTTAAACTAGGCTATTCTCATTATTTAAATTTATATTTTTTTTCTATTACTTTTAAATTTTATTTACTTATAATTAGTTTGATCATAATTATTTTATTTTTATTTTAAAATAAAAACTTACTTAAAATTATGTATTTGTTTTAAATTTATGTAAATTAATATGTTTTTATTTAATTTGTATTTGCTAATTAATTGAAATACGATTTTTTTTATTATAGGTATAAATTAAATATATGATATGATATATGTACAATTTTTTTAAAGAATAATAATTTTTCTAAATAAAAATATATTTATTTATTTTTAATTTATTTTATAATTTTCGACAATATATTTTTTATTTATATTTTCTTTTCAAATTATTTTTTTAAATGAAAAATATTCTAATTATAATATGAATTTTTTTTAATCTAAATTATTATTAGTATATTTGTTTAAAAACTAATAATTTTCTATTATATTTTAATATAAATCTATAGATGTTTATTATTTTATATATTGGGATATATTATTAATTATATATTACTTATTTTATATATTGACTTTATTTTTTAATTTTTTAACTTTGTTTTTTTTTAATAATGAGTTAAATTTTATATATATATATTTTGATTTTTATTTAAAATAAATTATTGATATATATATGAGATATAATATAATATTTTGTTTTTTTATTTAAAATAATATTTTAATAATAAAAATACAACTTAAATATTATTCACATTCCATTACTATTAAAAAAATAAAAAAATATAAATATATAAAAATAATTTACTAATTAGGTCCGCCACTACCTTCAGGTATCGTCCAATTAATATATTCTTCAACCATCTATTTATAATAAATTAAGTATTTAAATATAAAAAAACAAATAGTTATACTTTTATAGAGCATGTTTTACAATGAATACAATTTTAAGCATTTATTTATAATTTGGGTTCACCTTTTTCATCTTAAACAAACTCATAAACACCTGCAGGGCAAAATTTACTTTCAGGTCCTCCATACTTTTTAAGAGACTTTTCAATGGCTACATCTTCTTTACCTTTCTTAATTTTTAAATGAGACGGTTAATCATGATCATGATAAGTTCCACTATTTATATTTTATATATTAATAAAAACATAAAATAAATATATACTTATACAAAAAAATTCATAAATAATATATAATTAAACAATTATAAGTACCTTCTTGTAAGATTTTCCAACAAATCAAAAGTTAAAACCCCGTCTTTTTTTGGATAATGAATAGGCTTTTAATTTTCCTTAAACTATTCGCTATCTTTAATTTTATTTCTCAAATTCCACGGTTCTTTACCTTTCGTAATATTGCACTAAAATCCATTTAAAGCCAATCCTGGATAAAGTCCATACTTAAAAGCATTTTTGGTATTCCTAAAATCATATAACTCTTTATAAACCCATGAATTTTCCATATCTTTTTGATAATTTTTTATTTCCAAACCTTACTAACAGTCCTCTAAAGCAATGCTTTTATATATATTCTCACCCGCAACCATCCCTGACTTCATAGCATTGTGAGTTCCTTTAATTTTAGCCACATTTAAAAACCCAGCCCCACATCCTATTAAAACTCCTCCTGGAAAGCTTAACTTTGGAATAGAAAAATACCCTCCTGCGTTAATTGCCCTTGCTCCATAACTAATACAAGTACCTCCTTTTAACATTTCTCTAATTTATTTATGTGTTTTGAACCTTTGGAATTCCTCATAAGGATTTAAATTAGGGTTTTAATATTATAATCCTATTACATAACCTATATGTATTTAATTAGGATCTTTGTGATATAAAAAAGATCCTCCATAAGTGTATTTATCTAAAGGCCACCCTACTGTATGCTAAACAAGCCCGCTTTAAAATTTTTCTGTGGGAACTTCCCACACTTCTTTTAAACCGATTCCATAAATCTAAGAGTCACTATTTTCCCTCAAATTAAATTTTTGTGCGATTTCTTCTGTTAAAGAACCTCTACAGCCTTCGGAAAAAATAGTTTATTTCGCCAATAGTTCTATTCCAGGTGTGTAATTTTCCTTTTTTATTCCTTCTTTACTTATTCCCATATCTTTTGTGGCTACACCTATTACTGCTCCTTTTTCATTATACAAAAGTTCTGCACCGGCTGTTCCGGGGAAAATATCGACTCCTAAATTAGTGGCATATTCACCTAACCAAACACAAAGTTCGCCTAGAGAAATTATATAATTATTATGGTTATGGAGAGTTGAAGGAAGAAGAAAATTCGGAATTTCAATACTTTTTTCTTAATCAAATAAAATCATAAATTTATCATGAACAACCCTAGTATTTACTGGTGGTCTCTGTTTATTTTTATATATGTATATATTTTATTTTTATAATATATTTATAGTTTTTTTACATTTTCCATACCACGCCATCCAGGCAATAACTCATCTAATGCATTGGGCTCAAAACAATTTCCTGATAAAATATGAGAACCTATTTGTGAACCTTTTTCTATTAAACATACTGATATTGGGTGATTGTATTCTAGCTCTAATTGCTTTAGTCTTATGGCTGCGGAAAGACCAGCTGGACCTCCTCCTACTATTAGAACGTCATAGCTCATTTATTCACGATGATTTGAAAAATAATATTGATTGAGTTTTTATAATTTTATTTGAGTTTTAAATAGATTGTTTAATCTATTTATCATTTTTTTCTTGTTTTATATAATTTTTATAATTTTAATATTTTATTTTTTAATTTTATATTTTCTTTAAGCAATTTTTCTTTTCTTTTTTAATAAATTAAAATTTCTTTTTTCAATATATTATTATCATATTTTTTATAAAAATTACGTAATATATACTCCATAATTTCATAAAAATTATATTTTTATGAATCATTTATATTGGTTTTAATTTTAAAAGTTTGATTTTTTATATAAAAATATAATTTTTAATAAAACACAATATTCTTAATTAAATATATATATATATAAAATATAAACAATTTTTATTTTTCTAACTAAAAAATTTATATTTAATTTCTCTATGTTTAAAATTAATACAATAAGTTATTTAAATATTTTCTATAATCAAATATAAGTAAAAACTAATCCAGATAAACAAATCCCAAAAATAATAAATAAAATATTCAATAAATATTCCATTTTAGAAAGATTATTATAAATCAAATTTAAAAGACACGGAAAAATAATAGCAATAGGAGTTTTAAAAAAAATCTAAATAATATTAAATATAATATTAGCTTCTTTAGAAGTTAACATCCCAAAATAAACACTTAAAATCACACTAATAAAATTAATAACATTCAAAAGTAAATATTTATTATTATTTACATTAATAGTATCTTTATTTATTTTTTGCATTTCTTCTTCCAAAGAAACACTATGATAATAGCAAAGTTTAAACCAGGTTGCCTAATTAACTTCATTAAATTTAGGCAAATCATACACAGGTAATGATTTTAAGCTTTTAAGTTTAAAGAGGGCTAATTTATTGCTTTCTTTATATAAATCAAGTTAATCTTTATATAAAACATTTAGTGGTGAAAATAAATGTGCATATGAAGGAACAGCTGCCAAAATATAAAAAACTTATCCAATTAGAACTAGAAACAAATTATTATCAAATTAATCCATTATATTTTTTTTTATTTATTATCCAAAAGCAATCAATGTTAAGTTTCCGAGAAAAAACGAAAGTAAATATATACAAAAATGAGATAACCATATATATTTTTTGAACTATTTAGTTTATGTTTCTGTAAATTAATCTCTCTATTTATTTATTTTATTTTATTTTTGTTGTTTTTTTACATATATTTCATAAACAGTTATTGACTCTTCAAAGCTACTGAATATTTACATTGCAGATTCTATTCTATTTGTGCCAACTAGAATACTATTTATTTCGAATTTTTCTAATTATTTAATGGCTTATATATCGAAATAAAAAGTTAGTATAAATCCTAAAAACATTAATTTATCACATATATCCTTTAATTATTAATTTCTAACCAATTTTGGAATACAAACAATTGGATAAAAAAAAATTATTTAAATCCAAAAACTTTGATTATTAGTTATTTCATACTCAAAAAAAAATAAAAATTTATAAATCATAATACTCAAAGCTTATATATATGAATAAATATCAGAAAACTATTTTTTTTTTTATTTTTGAAAACATATTTTTTTTTTTTTTGAACAAAATAAATACATGAGTGAAAAATACACACGTATCTATTAATTTTAATCCGCAATAACCAAATTATAAATACATTAATTCCCTAAGAGTTAAATTCGTTATTCTTTTTAAATTTATCAAAACTATCATAGGATAAGCAGTTAAGAAATAAGAAGCAAGTAAAAATATGTTTGAATATATAATTCCTCCTTAATAAAATCCAAAACTTAATAAGAAAAAATTCGAAGTTACAAATTCTTATACTAATGTAAAAAATATTGTTTTCAATTTCAATTCATCCCAATAAAGTATTTCATTATCAATTTCTTAACAGCCTTAATTTTTGTTATTTTTATTTTAAATTTAAATTTTATATATTTATATATATAAATTTATAAAATTATTTATAAATTACTTCTTGCTTAAGATTTTTCTAAATTATAAAAATATTAAGGAAGAAAACCTTCTCCTTTACTAATAGATTTTATAAATTTGGATTTTTTTTTTAACTTTAGAGTTTCCTTAGTTAAGTTTTTATAACTTTAACTTTTTTATAATATAGAAGAAGTGATATCATTTAATTCATTAATCTTACTTTAATTTTAATTTTAAATTTCTTTTAAATTCTATATAATCTAAAATGTTTTTATTGAACCATTCATTTTGTTGGGAGATTATGAGAAACTATTAATATTATCGCTTATAATACTTTAAGTTCTACATTGTTTTGAATTCATAATTTAAATCTTTATTTATTTTTAACTTAATTAAATTTTTGTTTTATTTTTAAATAAAAAAAAATAAAAAAAAATATTTTAATAATTAAATATACAGTTTAAATATAATGATTAATTATTAAATAAAAAAAAATATTATTACTTAATTTAAAATTAAGATATTTTATTGTTATATATAAAAATTAAATATATATTAATATATAAATAAATAAATATATATATATATATTAA